AACAATGTTCATCTCTTAAATCCATAGTTATTTCTAAACTTACAGATCCTGTTTTAGCAATATAGAAATAACCATCACCATCTATTAAACCTGCTAACCATTCAAAAAATTTTTTATTGGCTTTATTTTTATTTTTAGTAGAAGTAGTATACATAGAAGTAAAATTTAAATATGAATTAACATAAATTTTAATCGGATTAAAATATTGGTTGAATATATTAGTAAATAACAAACGTATGGCCTCTGAGATTCCCATTAACGTGCTTGGTGTATTACCAGAAATTTTATAATAAAATTTCAGCGCTTTGGTTATCTGCGGATTGTTTAAATATATTATAGAAATTCTAACTAAAACGGAATCTAAAAATAAAATAAGATTGCTAACAATTTTAGTATTCTGAAATATTGAAATCAGGGACATTATATTAATACCTCTTAATTTCTTAAATTCCCCGCATATAGTTTGTTGCGGTAAACATATTATGTTTACTGGGCCAATTTGACCAATAGAACTATAAGCAATAATTTTTTTAAAATCTATTTGTCTTAAAGTTGTAAAAGAAGAATAAATTATACCTAAGACTGATAATGGTAATATTAAAGGTAAAAAATAATAAGAACCTTCTGGAAATAAATTTATAGAATATCTTATAAATCCATAAGTGGCTAATTTTAACATAATCTTTTTTTTTTTCTTGATCTACTACTAAAAAAGTCATAAACCTATTGGTTTTCAAATTAAAAATTATAATTTTTAATTTGGTAGATACTCCATATATTTTATATGGTTGGGACTATATTTTAATAATTAAAACAGTTTTATTTATAAAAATTTTGTAAATGATCTCAATTAAAATAAGTTCTTCTATTATTCATATTAGATTTTATTTTTATAATTTTTTTTATATCATTTTCATTTTTTTTCCTTTGTATATAAAATAATTCTAATACTTTTAATCAATCTTTATAATCTAAATATTTACTACTAAATAAAGCAAATTGATTTAAATAATTTTTTAAAACTAGATTACTATTTAAATTTGTAGTTCTTATTCTATATTGTGGATTTTTAGAAGTAGTATTAGTTTCTTTTACATTACATAATAAAAATTTACTAATTAAAGACATAGTATCAAAATTAGAAATACCATTTAAATCTTTTTGTCTTTGTACTAATTCTAAACTACAAGCAGTTTTTTTTAATTTATTAGTTTCTTTATCAATAGATACTCTAACAGAAAAATGACCATCAGCATCAATAAATCCGGCTAATCAAGCATTACATTGTAAGGGAGTTTTATCCAAACATACTTTAGGAATGTTCAAATTTTTTTTATTAAGTCATTCAATAAGTTTATATAATTGATAAATTTTAGAAGTTCTCATATAACCATTAATTAAAATAACTATTTTTTCTAAACCGTTTTTATCACTTATTCTGTAATGATAACCATTTTTACCTTTAATTTTATATATATTACCAACATTTAAAATTTTTTGTAATGTAGCCATTAAAGGAAAATCTTTATTATGAAAAGTTAGAATAATTTGAGGTGTATTAATATTATTTTTAGGTAAATAAAAACAACCATCACCTTCAATTAAACCTGCTAAATAAGAACCTAAAAATAATATATTATTAGTTAATAAAGTATTTATATTATCAATATTAATTTGTTTATTTATAAAAGTAGAAAAGTATAAATTTTTAATAGGAATTATTAAATTATAACTATAATTTAATTCAAAAGTATATAATTTATATATATAACTGTTAATTATTTTTAGCGTATAGTCTCTGAAGATCCTATGAAATTTATCTTCATACATCATAAAATTTATATTTGAAGATATTTTTTCGATCGATTGTAATCGATCATCAAATATGATATAGTTTCTTACTGATTGTCTTAAAATATAAAAGAGTTTTCAGCATATAGCTAAATTTAGAGCTAGCATTAGTTTACCAGCTAATATAATAGAACCACTTAATGGTGCTTCAGTATGTGCTAAAGGTAATCATTGATGAAAAGGTAATAAAGGTGTTTTAATAGCAAAAGAAATAAAAAATGCTAACCATAAAATAAATTGTCTTGAAGGTAAAAAATATGATGAAGAAATAAAAATATAATCATAAGTACCTGAAAAAGAATATAAAGTTAATATAGCTAATAACATTAATAATGATCCTGCTAATGTCATTAAAAAAAATTGATAAGTAGCATATATTCTAGTTAATTCTTCTTTTTCTTTACCTTTTTTATAACCTTGTCTATTACTACCAAATAAACCAATTAAAAGGAACATAGGTATAAGTGAAGCTTCAAAAAATATATAAAATATTAACATATCTAATATTACAAATACACCTATTAATATAGTTTCTAATAATAATAATGAATTTATAAAATATTTAATATTTTCTTCTACATCTCAACTAGCTAATATTGATATAACTATAATAAATGTTGTTAATAATATAAATAATAATGATATACCATCTACACCAACTGCAATTATATCAGTAAATCTTATTAAAAATTGTGGTTGAATACAACTGTAATCAAATCTATTTCACATTATTATAGATATTATAAAATTTATCATAGCTGTACCTAATCCTATTTTTTTTATTTTTTTATTATCATTTATTTGTAAACTAATTATTACACCTATTATAGGTATTATTAATAATAATATAATCATTTTTTATCTTTTTTATATTTTTTCTTTTACTTTTATTATAATTTCTTACTTTTTTTTATCTTCATAATTTTTCACTCGTTGAAGGATTTGAACCTACAATATACGATTTAGAAGATCGATGCTTTATCCAATTAAGCTAAACGAGTTATTATATTTAATATGTCCATCTTATATAAAAGGCGAATAATGGGAATTGAACCCATATTAACAATGCCACAAATTGTAGTTCTACCTTTAAACTATATTCGCCTTATAAACACTCTATAGGAATTGAACCTATATTAATAATTTCGAAGATTATTACTTTTACCTATTAAGTTAAGAGTGTATATAAATATATAACAGAAAAAAAAATTTTTTAAACCCTTAAAATCAATTTCCAAAATTGATATTTTACCAATTAAATTATTTTTCTTTTATTATTTTTTTTTTTAATAAATAATAGAATTAATAAGAAAATTATAAATTAATTATCTGTAAAATTTAATATACCTTTACTTAATTCATAAATAAATCCTATAGTTAATACAAGTATAAATATTGTACCTATTCAAAAACCGAATAAAGAAATATTATATAAAACAGAAGCAAAAGGGAATAAAAATATTACTTCTATGTCAAATATTAAAAATAATATTGCGACTAAATAAAATTGTATATTAAATTTTTCTCTTGCTGTACCTATAGTATCCATACCACATTCATAAGGTGATAATTTTGAAAAATCAGGTTTATTTACAGGTATTATAAGATTTATAACTAATAAAGTTGTTAATATAATAGGTGTTAATATTATAAATAATAATAATGTATTCATTTATTTTTATTTTTATAAAAAATTTTCTTTTTAATTTACCATTATTTTTTTTTCGGATAGGCAAGAATTGAACTTACAATCTTCTAATCCCAAATTAGAGGCGTTACCTATTACGCTACTATCCGTTAACGGGTAGAATGGGATTTGAACCCATGGAAGTCATTCAAAACTTCTCTCCGTTTCAAGCGAAGCACCTTAAACCAACTCAGTCATCTACCCTTATAAAAGAATTAATAATTATAAACTAAATTGAGGAAGTAAAGCAGTTTCTGTAGGTAATATAATATTAATTGTACCTCTTAATCGATGATAAGCTACTAATATAGATAAAGCAATTGCTGATTCAGCAGCAGCAATAGATATAATATATAAACCAAATATTTGAGCTAACATATCATCATGAAGAATAGAAAAATAAAGTACTAAAATAGTAACAGCTAATAATAAAATTTCAATTGATATTAATACTAAAAGATAATGTTTTCTATTTAAAATTATACCATATATACCTATTAAAAATAATAATAAAGCTAATTTCATTCGTTTTTTTTATTAATATAGGAAAATTTAATCCTTTTGTTTTTTTTTTTTCCTCGGAAAAAGAAGGAATCGAACCTTCAAAGATGTTAATTACATCTATAACTTAGCAAGCTATTGCCTTACCATTAGGCTATTTTTCCTTTATAAATTTTATAATCAGCCGTAGCCCTGAATTGAACAGAGATCCGATCATTAACAGTGATTGGCTTTACCATTAAGCTACTACAGCTATTTAAATGCCTTAAGGATGACTCGAACATCCTACTCAGAATTTTCAGTTCCGTACTTTAACCTGTTAAGCTATCAAGGCATAAATTGAGAGTATTGGGATTTGAACCCAAACTATACAAATTAAAAGTTTGATACTCTACCGATTAAGTTATACTCCCAATATTTTTATTTTATATATCAAAATATTTAACTTAATAATTTGATAAGATTAGAGAATGAATTGAACATTCATAATCAGGTTTGCAGCCCGATACTTTACCATTAAGATATCTAATCTTTTTTTTTTTGAAATCGAATGGAATTGAACCATTATTTTTTGCTTATCAAGCAAATACTTTAACCTTTAAGTTACGATTCCTTTATTATTTTGATCTCAGTCCGATTCGAACGAACATAATGGCAGTGAAGGTGCCAGATCCTACCTTTAGATGATGAGATCTTATATATGCGAATGATTGATTCGAACAATCTCTTCAAGGTCATGAGCCTTACGTGCATACCTTTACACTTATTCGCGTTATTTTTTATATATATATATATATCAATCATTAATTAAAACAAAAATTTTTTAGATTATGAGTCTAATGTATTATTTTATACTTATTTATATATATTTTTATTTTGAGGAGAGCAAGATTTGAACTTACATCTTTCCTGTTATGAGCAGTTGGCTTTACCAATTAAGCTATCTCCCCTTTTTTATTTTTGAGAAGACTGGGATTTGAACCCAGAATGGTCGAAACCATCGCCTTTACAGGGCGATTGCAATACCAAAATGCTTTCTTCTCTTTATTACCTACTGAGGGACTTGAACCCTCACACACAAAGTGTAAACAATTTTAAGTCGTTTGAGTCTACCAATTTCTCCAAGTAGGTTTTATATTTAGCCAGATACGGAATTTGAATCCATAATACGTAATTTACAAAATTACTGCTTTACCGAATTAAGCTAATCTGGCATTTTATATATATAATATTTATATATAAATAATTTAATGTTTTAATAATTTTATAAAAATTTATATTATTATTTTTAGTTATTATTTATATATAATAAAAAAATTAATTAATAATTATAATTATTATAAAAAAAAAAGAAATTAAAGAATAAAAAATATAAAATTTAATTAAAATATATATATAAATTAAAATCTAAAGCATAAATTAGTATATAAATATACTAATTAAAAAAAAAATAATATAAAATAGCTTATAAATTTAATTATATCTAATTCTTTTATTTATTATAAATCTTTTGATAACTATAATAAAATTTATTTATAAGTATATATATTATTATTTTTATAAAAATATATAAATTTATAATTAGATATTTAAAATAAAAATATAAAGAGAATGTAAATATATTTATATTTTATAAGAATATTTTATAATATTTATAATAAAAAAATTATTATATTATTGTTCAAGGTGTAATTAAACTAAATCTACTTACATCTTTTAATATATAGTTAGGTATAATATATACAGATAAAAAATAAGATAATACAATAAGTATTAAATATCCAAAAGAAATTTGATTAATAAAACTAAAAGGTATTAATTGAGGCATAATAAATAATAGGTTTTTTCATTATTCATCTAAAAATAAATTAATATTTATAATCTTTTATATATTATAATATATAAAGGTAAATAAAATATAATATTAATTATAATATTATATAAAAATAATTAATGTAAAACAATTGAATCTTTAATATAAATAGAAGTTAAAACACATCATACATAAGCTTGTAAAATTGCTACAGCAATTTCTAATCCCATTAATAAAATTAAAAAAACTATAGGTATAATAGATAAAATAGCAAAAATTATATTTATAGATATAATTTGTAAAGTTAAACTACTTATAACATTTAATAATATATGACCTGAAGTTATGTTAGCTCCTAATCTAATTCCTAAACTTAAAGCTCTAGCTATATATGATAATAATTCAATTGCAACTAATAAAGGTACTAATCCTAAAGGTGTACCTGAAGGTAATAATACTGAAAAATAAGATAATTTATATTTTTCAAATCCAATTATTGTCATACCAATTATTAACATAATACTTAAACTTAATGTTAAAGCAAAATGAGCAGTAGGAGAAAAACCATAAGGTATTAATCCTACAAAATTTGTTATTAATATAAAATAAAATAAAGTTAATATTAATGGTAAATATATTTCATTTTGTTTTCCTATTTGAGCTTTAACTAAACCTAATATAGATTTATATATTGATTCAGTTAAAATAGTGATTCTATTACCTACTATATTATTTTCTTTTATTGATATCATTAATATTATATATATTAATACTGCTGATATTATCATATAAAATCCTGAATTAGTTATAGAAAAAGTATAATAAGGAGTATTTAAAGATAATAATATATTAACAATAAATTGTTCTAAAGGATTATATATTAACATATTTTTAATATATTTTTTATTTTTAATAATTAAAAAAATTAAAATAATTTTTTTTATTTTTAATTTTGTATCATTTTACATATACTATTAAAATTATATATTATATTATTTTAAATTAAATATATTTATTTATTTAGTTTATATCTTTATAATTTTTCTAACTAATTTTGTTTATTTAAGTAATACCTTTATAAAAGGTAAATTATAATAAATAAAATTTTATTGTCAAATATATTAGAAAATTTAATAAGTAGCAAATTTTATATATAAAATAGCATGTTATGTTATTTTTGGTACTAGGTTGTATTAAGATTGGGTTTAAGGTTAGATTTAATTTTAGAGTATGATAATCGTAAACCCGTGTTAAACTAATTTTTAGTCGAATGTAAAAGCTAATAAAGAAAAAAGGTATGATTCAACTAATAGTTGAATCATATATATAATATCTCAAAATATTTAAAATATAAGTAATAAAATTGAACAATAAAAAAAAAATTTTTTTTTATTTAGTTTAACTAATCCTAATCTACTAAGTTTTTTATATATAAATTTAGTAGATTTTAAAGGAAGATATATTTAAAATTGATTTTTATCCATAAAAAGTTTTTAATTATAAGTAAATGTATAAGAATCTTTAGAAACAAAATATCAAATAAATAAAAATTATAAATAAAAAATTAATAAAAAATAATATATAATTTTTATAGTATTATGCTTAAAATGATATTATTATTATATAAAAATAAATATAACCTGTATTATTTTTTAGATAACATTAATAATATATAAATACCATTAATAACTCTATAAATTCTACTAAAATATTTTCATGAAAATTATGAATAATTTTAAGTAATAAAATTATGAAATTTGCTTTATTATAACTTAATTTGATATCTTTAATTATTAAACTTATAGATTTTATAATTTAGGTATGGAAATTAGAGAATTATTTAAAGTATTTTTTAAGATTGAGATTTAAGGTATTAGAACTAAGAAGTATAAAAAAATAAAATATTATAGAAACTTGACTAATAGCAATAAAAGTTAAAATAATTAAAAAAAAAATAAAAAATAGAATAAAGTAAATACTTGACCCACTAAAATAAAATTCAATAGTTTATACTGTAATTAATATAAGATAATTCAGAGGAATAATAAAACATTAATAATTTAAATAATTTAGGTATTATAATTGATCTATGATAATAAATATTAAGATTTTAATAAAAATAATAGCCTTTATACAATATATAATAATTCTAATATGTTTATCAAATAATTTAAAATAAGTTTTAGTAGAATTCATATACCCACCTCAAGTAATTAAAAAAAAAATAATTAACATAAAAAAAAAAAATAAAATAGTTTATATTTATGATTACAATAATTATAAATGAACATCATTATTTATTATTTTCTAATTCTGTTAAAATTTTAGATTTTAAAATAATAGTCCGCTTAACCTCCATACATTGTACAGAATTGAAGTTATTACAAATATCATTAAAATTTTTCATGCTATCTGAATAAGCTTGATTAATTTCAGTTTGTGTAAGAGGAGTTTCTAGTTTAGGATAACCCATTTGAGTCAATGTACTATCTAAAAATTTGGATACTATAGGAGTGAATAATGGATTTCTATCTTGTTTTTCTAGTAAATAATCTATTCCTAAGCCTACACCAAATATAGCTGAAGCTGATGCTGTTATTATGCATACTCCTTTGATACAATATACAAATAAAGCAGTAGAAGTAGCACCTATGTTAGCTGGAGAATTTTTGATTATAAGTTTACCTGAAAAAATAATTTTTATAAAATATATAAATTTTATAAAAGAAATAATAAACATAAATCCTAATTGAGTCATAGCCAAATTAAAAATAATTATATGAACCTGAATACCCAGATTCATATAATATAGCCAATAAATAGTCAATATTCCTCCTAGTACTCTTAATATTCTTATTATAGGGATATTTATGAAATTATTTATTTTTTCAGGTAATATCGGCATATTGTAACCTAGTTTTATCCCAGCTTAAATATCAAATATTATTCCCTTTTTACTTCATCAAATAAACATAGGTTTCGATTGAGAATTATTACCAGATGTTGCTATATCTGCTAATGTATTTTCTAAAATAGAAATAAAAGGTAAAATAATTAAGAAATATGAGAAATAGAATAAAGTAGATACTTGACCTATTAAAATAAATGGAGGTTCAGCATGATTAGCACCAATTCACATTAAAATAAAGAAATTACCAATAAATAATCAATAGAAAAATTTCATAAAAGGTCTAAATTGTAAAGATCGGATTCTTGATACGTCGAGAATCGGTAATAAAAATAAAATTAATATAGCAGCAAACATAGCAATAACACCACCTAATTTGTGAGGAATAGATCTTAAAATAGCATAAAAAGGTAAAAAATATCATTCAGGTACTCAATAAGAAAAACAAATAATATTAAATTTTTCGCAGTAACTTTCGTTACTGATTAGACTATGTCATTAATCCATTTCATACGAAATGCAAATTAAAGGGCGCTCGTGGATAGATTATTATTAGCATTATTCACTATCTAGTCGTTGAACGTTTATATAACTATTAAAATGCTGTTATATACTTCGCTGCAAGTTAGCATAGTATATAATACTTTAGCTTTCTTGAAAATAATCAAAGATTATTCGGAGTTTATTACTCCCAATTCACCCTTTTTTCCTAGATAATTTATAATCTAGGCGACGGTACCATATATAATATGTAGGTAATTAAAATTGGATATTACCATTTATTTAATCTGTTTTAGATAGTTGTAGTGGATTATTTTTTAATCATAAATTTATTTGATTTTCTTTATATTCTATAGCAGCTTGTAGTGCCATAGCACTTGAATTATTATAAGTTTTAAAATAAAAATATTTTCTTCGGGGTTTAATTTTAAATAAAACTGGTAATATAACACACCAAGATGTATTTTTAGATAAATTTATATATGATTGATTAGATAAAGATTTATTATTGGTAGATTTTAATAGAATATTCGTTCAATATGTTAAAGGTTTTTCAAAATCTATATTTATAGAATAATAATAATTTAATAACATATATTGAATAGGTTTTATATATAATAGACTAGTATGTAAATATTTTAAAGAATTTTTAATATTATTAAATCTGTACTTTTTAAAAAATAGAAAATAATTAAAATTATCAATCATTTCTAATAAAGGAATTATATTTTTTTTATTTTCTATTTGAAGTATATAAAGATGATTAGATTTAGTAATATTAGAATTAATATTAAATTTATTTAAATAAACGAGGATTCTATTAAATAAAATTTGATTATCTTCAGTAATTTTTTGACTTATTTTTAACAGAGGAATAAACCAGATATTTTGATTTTTATTTTCTCTAAT